GAAAGGGACAGGGATCGGGACCGGGACAGAGATAGAGACAGGGGGAGAAGCAAGGACAAGGATAGGGACAGAGATAGGGTTAGGGATAGGGATCGTGATAGAGAAAGAGAAAGGGACCGGGACAGGGATCACGATCGTCATCACAGAGACCGCCACAGGGATCGCGAGAGAAGTGAGCGACGGAGAGACAAGGACGACGACGACGATGATCACTACCGTACCCGGGACTCTGATAGGTATGACCAATTTTGATTCATTGTCTACCTTTAAATGAATATTCTGTTAGCAGATGAGGAACTTGGTTGTGTAATTATCAACTGAGTTTGATGCAATTTGTGCAATTTGGAATTTTTATACTGCTATATAACTATTATGCTAATTAATCTGGTGAATCTTTGAGATTCTTTTTGTCCTTTTACTATTATAATTTATGCAATGATTTGACAGACGGAGGGATTATGACAGAGACAGAGAGGATAGGCATAGGCACAAGTCCCGTTCTCGTTCAAGAGCTAGATCTGAGCACAAATCCAGATCGAGGTCACGTTCTCGTTCACGCTCAAAAAGGTATTTTTTCTTTATGAGAGGTTAGCAAAGGACTCCTAACTTTTGCGGCAAATCCTAAGTATTTTTGGAATAAACACTTGGTTGATGAGTTCTTTTCATTAAATATTTTCCTTATTTGGGTTTGGGTCTCTTTAGCCAAGTTCTTGTTTGTAATTTTGTTTATTTGCCATCTTTATTCCTAATGCTTGACTATGCATTAGCTAGTGGTGAAAGATTGGTTCTGTTTCATTTGTCTTGGGATGTAGATAACCCCACTTTTCACCACCACACTGGATAATGAATGCCTGTCTCTCCCCAAATGTATACCTACAGATACCATTTTAGGTAGGTAGTGAACTATTAACTTCTATGAAATTTATAGTCGCGATTTCTTGTGTATGAGTTTCATGTTGGTATAGGTTTGGGGCGAGACAATAATTTTGTGATATTATTTTTTCTGTGGAACTGTGATAATAACGTTTTGTAGAATGTAGGTTTTCTAGTCTCATGCCTTTAAGTTGTCTCTTTTATGTTGTCTTTGTTTTTGGTATCCTGACACTAACGGCTTGCAGCAAAAGGATTAGCGGTTTTGACATGGCACCTCCTGCTTCTGCAATGTTAGCTGGTGCTGCTGTTGCTGCAGCAGGTACATTTATTCTTCTAGACTTGGGATTGTTATATTTTGTTTAACTGTTTTTTCTCTTTGTTGGACTAGTGTGGAAAGTTCATATCCAATTGCATGGTGTTATTTTGGTAAGGTATATTTGTTCCTTCCCTTGTGCATATAGCCTTTATAAAGCTGTGGTCTCTGGAAAGGTTACAATATTTTTATTGTTTACTTGGTGAAATAATTCTGGGACTGAGAGATCTTTTGTTTTTTTTGGTTTTTGGTGTTTTTGTTGTTTTGTTTCTCTGTCTTGTCCTTTGTTGTAAGAAGGCAATGTTGGACTACTTGCCCCACTGTGATGACAATGGGTGTGAGCCGACTTCTGTAGCTTTTATGTACAAGGAGGAATCAGTGCACCGGTTTGATGGATCTTGTTCGTCGTCAACCGGCAACTATTGCCTTTTTTGGTAGTCATACAAATATTTCCCCCAGAACTTGTAAATGATATATTTCTTTCACCTCCTCTGGTAAACTATATAAATTGAAGGTCCGGATATTGCTTAACCCAATGAGTTTGCATGGAAATGAAGTGGCGGAGGAGTCATTTGGCAGTAACATTTAAGTAGTTTTAATGTGGTAGTTCTTTGATGACTGCATGTGATCCAATTTTCTTTGCAGGGCAAATTCCTGGGACTAGTCCTACCATTCCGGGGATGTTCCCAAACATGTTCCCTCTGTCAACCGGTCAGGTATCTCTTGCTCTCTCTCTTGCTCTTACTTTCCCCTTGCGATCCATACATCTCAGTATGCTTGAGTTTCACTAATATTATGTTTTATTTGTGCGCACAGCAGTTTGCACCCCTTCCAGTTATGCCTGTTCAGGCAATGACTCAACAGGTTGCCATGATTGAGATTAATTTTTTTAGTTTGTATCAGTACATCCCACTACTCCCTAATTGTAACATGTGCTGACATTAATTGTTCTTTATTTATACTTATCAGGCTACTAGGCATGCCCGACGAGTGTACGTTGGAGGGCTTCCTCCCACAGCAAACGAACAGGTTTACTCAACTCACCTTTACCATTTATTATTTTTGCTTATCTACCTTTCGTTCTACATGAACACTATGTTTTAATGTGTACTCAAGCTTACACTTTCCTACGGTTAATGTGGTTTTTTCTGTCATATGCAGTCTGTTGCTACATTTTTCAGCCAAGTTATGGCTGCAATTGGAGGGAACACTGCTGGCCCAGGTATATTGATGTTTGCATTTAAATTGGTATAATAAAGTCCTTCCCTTTAGTTGATCACCTAATTGTTGTTTTACTTGTTTTGTGCAGGAGATGCTGTTGTCAATGTCTACATAAACCATGAAAAGAAATTTGCTTTTGTGGAGATGAGATCGGTTGAAGAGGCTAGCAATGCAATGGCTCTGGATGGAATTATTTTTGAGGTATTTCTAATCTTTCCTTTCATTTATATCCATGTATGATTGACTTAATCATTTTGGATTAACTTCACGTTCATAGTATTGACTATTCCCTTCTTTTGTTTTTGGACAATTGCTACAGGGAGCCCCTGTTAAGGTGCGGAGACCTAGTGATTACAACCCATCTCTGGCTGCAACACTCGGTCCAAGCCAGCCCAATCCCAATCTGAACCTGGCTGCTGTGGGGCTTACACCGGGTTCTGCTGGTGGGCTTGAGGGCCCTGACCGCATATTTGTTGGTGGGCTGCCATATTACTTCACAGAAGCACAGATCAAGGAGTTACTCGAGTCCTTTGGACCCCTTCGTGGTTTTGATTTAGTGAAAGACAGGGAAACAGGAAACTCAAAAGGCTATGCCTTTTGTGTTTACCAAGACCTTTCAGTTACAGACATAGCTTGTGCAGCGCTGAACGGTATTAAAATGGGCGACAAGACGCTCACAGTTAGGCGTGCTAACCAAGGTGCCAACCAGCCCAAACCTGAGCAAGAGAGCGTTCTGTTGCACGCACAGCAGCAAATTGCATTGCAGGTAAGAGTGAAAGTGCTAATTTTTTCCCCTAATAGGTGTTAAGTTAGACTAAACTATACTTTTAAATTGGCTTAAATTAATAATTTTCAGAAAGTTTAGTTAATCTGGGTTTGGTTTAACGTCTTGAGGTGTTTGTTTCTTTTGCAGAGGTTCATGCTGTTGCAACCGCCTGGTTCTGTCGCCACCAAGGTTGTATGTTTAACTCAGGTAGTAACTGCAGATGAGCTTAGGGACGATACCGAGTATGATGATATCTTGGAAGACATGAGGCTTGAAGGCGAAAAGTTTGGTAAGTTACCATCACTCGCTGTTAATTTCACTGTTCTTTTTTTGTTGGTTTTTTCTGATTAACCTACAAAGTTTATTGCGGTATTGATTTTCTCTTTTCTTTTTGTCGTTATCTTTCTGTTTTACAGCCCTTTTTGTAGTCCCACATTCTGCTATAAAGAATCAGGCGTTAACATTCAGACAGAAGCCTCCATAACCTTCTAGCTGAATTCATCTAAGATTTGTGTTGTCGTCTATTTTTAATAGTTATTTGATTTTGACTGGTCTGCAGGTGCATTAGTGAACGTCATCATCCCGCGTCCAAGACCAGATGGTGAACTTGCCCCCGGTGTTGGGAAGGTTTGTGTCTTCGTGTCTGGAATCTAGTTATTAATACATTTAGTTCCGAAAATCTGATTTTCAGGTTTTGCTCTTCTACATGCTGAAAATATTCTTGTATTGGCAGGTGTTTTTGGAGTATGCAGATACCGATGGTTCCACAAAAGCCCGTACGGGGTTGAATGGCCGGAAATTTGGCGGCAATCAGGTGGTAGCAGTGTTTTATCCGGAGGACAAGTTCGGCCAGGGCGACTACGAGGGCTAGTTGTTTGTCTTAAATGTGTTGCCAAGTGATCTATTGAGATTTTCTCTTAATTAGAACTTTTGAGTTTGCATTTTTTCATTAGAGTTGTATTGTGTATCCTGGTATGTATGACTAGGAATAATTTGATGCGTACGTTTTCAGTTAGTGGAAGGAGTGAAGATATGAACTTGAAATATAATTTGTGGCATTTGCTTCTCTTTCTATTTACCGCGTTACGTATTTGGTCTGTTTTTGGCATCCGACCGCAACTCCGGGGGGAGAATCTTGAGCTCCTTTTAACATCTGCACTCATTCTGAATGTATCACACCATGCAATTCCGTCAAATAAGTTAAAATAGTCGTCGTGTTAATGTTGCATGGACAATTTAGTCTTTTTAATTATGTTGGTGAGTTTAGTGTTGCATATGGATGCGAAAACTTTGAATTTACTCCCGAATCTTGAAATTCAACATTTTCTTCTTCCTTTCTTCTCTTAATATAGAGAAATCGAACACTAATTTGAGTTTAACCCATATATGTTAATCCATGGATTCCACTAACATGACATATTATAGGCCACACAAACAGCCTAGATGAAAAGACTAGACTGCTCATGCCACGTCAACACAAACGAGTCTTGTAACTTATTTGAAGAAATAGGTTAAACTGAGACATGGAAGAAGATTATAGGTGGTGAAGTGTGATAATATAAGTATGGAGGGTAAATTAAGGCACGAAGAAAGAATGGTAAAATGAGAAAGTATAGAATGCAAGGGGTAAAACATGATTTGATGAAGAACATGTGCAGTAGCTAGCTAAAAATAAACCAAAATATTATGCAAAAATATCACAAATTTTTTTCCACTGAAGTAATTCATAAAAAAGTTGAAAATTAGAGGGTGAAAAGTCGGAACAATTTACCCTGGCAATCCTAAGCCTATACGTTGCGCAGCAACAGGACAAGTAACAACACTCCTAAAACCCTAAACATTTCAAAAGAACAGGGCTTCCACCCAAAAAGCTGCAAAAACCCTAAAAATGTCATCATCGATTCCCCTCCGCCACCTCCGCCACCTATCAACCACCACCGCCAAGTCTACCCTCTCCATCTCAAAAGCCAAATCAAAGCTCCGAACCGAGTACGACCCTGACAAAGCCCTCCAGATTTATTCCTCCGTCTCCGAACACTACTCTTCTCCCACCTCGTCTCGCTACGCCCAGGATCTCACCGTCCGCCGCCTCGCCAAGTCCCACCGTTTCGCTGACATCGAATCCTTCATTGAATCCCACAAAAATGACCCCAAAATCACCCAGGAGCCGTTCCTGTCCACCCTCATCCGATCCTACGGCCGCGCCGGCATGTTTGACCATGCATTGAGGACCTTTGATCAGATGGACCAGCTGGGTACTCCCAGAACCGCCATTTCCTTCAACACTCTGCTGTCTGCCTGCAACGATTCGAAGCATTTCGACAGAGTCCCCCAGCTTTTCGACGAAATTCCCAACAAGAATGGCGTCTCCCCTGATAAAGTGTCGTATGGTATACTGATTAAGTCGTATTGTGCTGCGGATAAGCCCGAGAAGGCGATGGAGACGCTGAGGTTGATGGAGGAGAAGGGTATTGAGATCACTGCGGTGACGTTCACCACAATTTTCAATGCTTTGTACAAGAAGGGCAATGGCGAAGAGGCGGAGAAGTTGTGGGATGAGATGGTGAAGAAGGGCGTTGAGGTTGATGCTGCGGCTTATAATGTGAAGATTATGTATGTCCATGGCGGGAGCGCGGACAATGTGAAAGCTTTGATAGAGGAAATGGCGAATGCCGGGCTTAAACCGGATACTATTAGTTACAATTACTTGATGACTTGCTATTGCAGGAATGGGATGATGGAAGAAGCTGTCAAGGTTTATGAGGGGTTGGAGGGAAATGCTTGTAATCCGAATGCTGCAACTTTTCGAACTTTGATATTTTATTTGTGTGAAAGTGGGGATTATGACAAGGCGTATAAAGTTTACAAGAGAAGTGTGGAGGTGCATAAGATCCCCGATTTCAATACAATGAAGTATTTGGCTGAAGGATTGGTGAAAAAGAAGAAGATGAAGGAGGCCAAGGGATTGATACGCACGATCAAGAAGAAGTTCCCTCCTAATGTTTTAGTTGCCTGGAAGAAATTGGAGCAGGGTCTAGGTTTGGCTTCTTCTGATACTGGTGCGTCTTCAGTCGCAGATGAGGAGGCTAAAGAGGCTACAGCATAAGTATTGATGGGATTCCGGCTCGTTGGTCTGAGTTTAATCCGGCGATTATTGCATCTTCGGCTGCGGCGGGTGAGCCCATCTGATTAAAAGGCGAGCAAGGATGTCAATTGGCTGCATAAAGAAGCAAGTTAGAAGCTTTTTGAAATTGTAATACTGTATGAGCTTCAATTTTGAATATTTTTATGTTGGTTTTCGTTTCGTTGTCTGCAATTTCGCAGTTGGTAAGATTTACGTGTTCTTGCTCTTGCCGTCTTTTATTCAGAAATGGAAGCAGGCCCATTTTTATTTACAAACCCATTGGGACCTTAGCATCCTGCATATGCCATGGCCGTTGTAGTGTGTAATTGTGTTTTTAATAACATGTCATATCTGTTTGAAACTTATCCTGCCACATTTGGCCCCTGAATTCTGTGTTGTGCTTTTGGCTTATTGATGTTTCTGAGTTTAGCGGCGAAAATTTCAATTTTGCAACTCACACCCGAATGAGTTTCACAAATATATCTTGGTTCAAAACTGAAACAACTGTTCGCGGGAGTTGCCAGATTATAGAGGAAAGAGAGCTGCCATATTACTTAGGAGAGAGTCGCCAAATTGCATATGAAGTTGTCATGTTTTAAAGGAGAGAGTGACCGGATTATGGAGAGTCACTGGATACTGGAATGCAGAGGGGAGAGGAGTAGTCAACCAAAACCTATTCTGTTATACACGATTGAGAAATTGAATGTCCAAGAAAAAAAAACAAGGTCCAAATCATCAATATAAAAAATTTGTGGTCAAAAGTTTAAGCTGAGAATCTAAATCCGTCAACTGCTTACAATTTTTTTTTTGGTATATAGGGTCAGTTATCTTGAGGAGGAGTGGGGGAATGAAGACTCAAATATCTCCTCCGGGAGAAGGAGCTGACTTGGCCAGCTTGACGAACTGCCAAGCGAAAACAAAGCTCCACTGCTTGTACCGGAAATCTGGACCCTCAGGTTCTCTTCTTCATTCTTGTACTTGTATAATTGTTTTCCTATTAGCTTTTAAGGTTTTCCCAACTGTCTCTCTGCAGGAACATGAGGTTAAGTAGCTAATGTTTTGTTGTCGAGTAGTTGAGTTGTTCTATCTTTTGGTTGAGTTGTTGGTTGCTCTGGTTTTCCAAGAATTATTTGGGAACCTTTCGTTCAAATTGGCGATGATGGTATGCCCCTATTTTCGTTTGTACCGCACTCATTTTTTGTTGAAGCTGCATCCACAGTAATAGCCTTTGTATGCAGAGCAGATTAAACCCTTTGTTCGTGCTTGGTTTAGATGGTTGTAACCTGTGTGCTACTCTTAATGAAACTATATGAATATGATTTTTAAGATATATTGCAGTTAGTGGGGAAAGGCTTTGTTGTATTGCAGTATGAGCGTCCTTCTTCCTCTTCCAGTTACTGTGCATGTTCCCAAAGAAAGAATGTGAAAGGAAACCTCTCGTCAAGGACATGAATTGAATTTTAGAGTATGGTGTAAACCTTATGCATGTCACAGTTGCCCTTCTCTCAAGATACTCTTGCTACTCTTTCCCTGCTGTGGTTTTCTGATTCTTACTATTTGTATTTATTTGACTGCTATTGAGGCAGTCAAGGTGCTTCATATGATAAAACTTTATAGGAAACCAATCTGTGTAAACGAGGTATTGAACTGTGTTTTCATAGCTTATCATTTTTTATGTATGTAATATAATTTTGATGGTTTTTGTGAATTCTTCAATTGCAGGCATCCCAAAACGGAAAGAGCCTGGACGTTGGGGAAAACAGTTACACTATGACTTAGCTTTAATGTTATAATTTAAACCCGATATCCTTTGTAGGATGGGGATGAGAAGCTCTCTTGTAGTGAAATAGGAGTCGTACTTACGAACCCAAAAGGTAGTGCCTGGGCATGTCTTTCATATCCAAAAGCATTGTTTGCTCAAGGTTTTCACAACCTAAGAGAACTTATTTCCTTTTAGTTTTCTTGGGAGTCTTTTGTCCTTCTACCTCTATATTGTCAAAATGCAAAGGATTTTGTTTCAGTTGCGTTGTACATGTGTATATTGGCGTTTCCTTATTGTTGTATTGCTTGCTGAATTGGTGCCTTTTCATGTGCAGTTGATTCACAATTTTGATTCTTCTTCTTCCTCCATTTTATTTGGGCGACGAATAGCAAACATGACAGTATCTGTGCAATCGACAATAATCAAATAACAGTGTAATATGCATATAGGGATACTAAAATGGGAGCCTCATAGGATTCTGGCAGGTTAACCTTCTTACTTAGTTGCTGCTTTGTTCGTGTTACATTGTAATTCATCTCTTTGCCACATGAATGCTTCTGGTGTATAAGACAGATTATTATTGAATTTAGCAGACAAATAAAATTTTGTGTTTATATCAAGCAGGGAGCAGAATTTGATTCGTGCTAGGACAAACAGCTGCAACGCCATACAACGCCCCGCCTCCCTGTTTTAGCAACCTTTCACTAGCACTTGGTTGGCGGGACATGAACTAGTTTGTGAATTTAATATAACGGTTTGTTTAAGTCTTAATGCTTCTTGTTTCATTTCTGCCATACTATAGGAACTTCTGTAATATCTAACTTAGCACAGAAAACGTTTTGCTTCTTGTTTTCTCTTTCGACGAAGCCTGCGTAATGCAACCGTGTAAACAATTGCTGCAACTCCAGTTTCTATACATGAGACTGATGAGCGTAAATCGAATAACTTGCTTAGCCATGGTCAATTTTCATTAACATCGTCTTGTTTGCAGATTACTCTTTCCTCTGAAATATTTGAACAAATGTCATTGTTTTAATTATATAGAATTCCTACTACAGAACAGAGACATACCAAACATATTCCTACTTTCATCAGCATTACATTGCCTTCACCTCAAAAACCCTAAAAATTTCATGTGTTTTTAATTAAAGATCTAACGGGTGAAACACTGGCATCATAAAAAATCCCTAGCTGCTGAATAGGAAGTAGAACCAACTCATAATTATTAAATCCAAACTCAACCAAGAACCAACTCGTATTCCCAGAAACTTTAATGGGAAATGTATATGAAAATGATGAACTTAAAATCAAGAGATTCTTTGGCAATGGTCTTTCGTGTCATGTAACATGTTAGTTCAAACACACACAAAGGTGGTCTCATGCATTCGGGTCTTAAACAGGTTTATTTTGATGGACCTGAATGCAAGGGTACCACTCGTGTGTGTCTTGGATGCACGGGGTAGATCATGATACAAAATCCCCTGCACAAGAAAATCTCCTAAAAATTAGGTTTATCCTAATGGCTGGGCATCGTTGATATTAGGCTCTACCCCTAGTTAGGTTCACAATTCTTGGACAAGAAATCTAGAAAGGACTATACAAGAGTACCCTAGCTAGAAGCCCTAGAGATTTAGTAGCCCATATCCCAATGCAGGTGGCAATAATAGTCCAAGGATAAGAATCCAAGGGTAGATTGGACGTAAGGATAGGGTTAGGGTTATGAGTCCTGAGCTGCTCCCACGACTGTGACTGACTGATGAGTCTGCCTAATGGTACTCTGATGAAAACATAGGGATTCTGCATGTTGTTGCTGTTGCAAGCCAAGCCTAAGCTAAAACAAGATTGGGGATTGATACATAGATATAGGATACTGAGCCCCATCAGCAGCTCTCATGCGCTAAAAGGAAGCTTTGCCTTACTTTCTGCACTAAAATGGCTCTTATAGCATTTACACCCATGCTTTTTTGACATGGATAAGTTCCACTCCAACCCAAATCACACTTCCACCAGTTAGAGCACTTCCATCCCTAAAAAGTTTGTGGCAATTCAATCTTCTCAAGTAATTAATAAACAGTAACTATACAAGTGCATATTTATCCCTAAACTAAATAGTCCACGCAATTTGTATCAAAATATTATTTTTTATAAACTAATAAAAAATAATTTTATTTCAGATAAAAATAAAAGATTGGTTAAAAATATTGAAATATGGTGTAAGGTGGAAGAACATGGTTATATACTTATAAAAAAGAACTATATTTTTTTTTGTATTTAATCAATCTTTTATAATATTTATTTATTTTTATAATTGTTTAATAGTGGCTGACATCACCATGACGTCAGCCTTGCATCACTGCCCCTAAGGGTTGGGCCAGTCAATTATCCATTGGGTGGGCAACTGGGCTCCCCTGAACCCCAGTGAAATGGATGGGCTGGAGTGGTTTTTTTTTTTTTTTTTTTGAGGGGTGGTGGGGAGGGAGGGGATTAAATCAACTAGCCCCTAAGGAATATTTGTTGGGCTGAAAGTGCTCTTATTGGATCGCCAAGGCTCACCAACTATGACCCACACTTCCATACTCTAGTTGTATGAGAAAAACTCTCCTTAACAACATTCTCTATGTCCGATCCTCTCTCTTTGTTGTATGCATAAGCTGTGACAGTTTGGTGTTAGTGCGAAAGAGTTCTTTGTTAACATACTTCGCATTGTGGTTTGTGAACCAAGAAACAAGCAACCACTAATAATTATGAAAGTCACTAGGAATAGCCTAGTGGTGAGGATGTGGGTAAGGGGTAGGGGTAGATTTAGGTATCGTTTGGAATGCAGATAGGACGGGACAGGACGGAACGGACGTTCCATGTTATGTTTGGTACGCACAGGACGGAACGGGATAGTTGTTCTGTTCTACGTTTGGTACACGTTGAACGGAATGGAAACAAAACATTAAATGACTAACTTACCCATGTTCCGTCTGTTGTTTGGTATAATGTTTATGTGTGGGACGGACGAGACTTTATTTTTTTAATTTTTATTTTTTATTTTTGAACTTGTTCATATTTTGAACACATATATGCTTATCTATGATATATTTTTTACACTAGCACATGGCTGAAGATATGTTATGCCATGAATTCTATCTTTTATAACAATACCATGATTGGCTTCAACATGGTTGAAGCTTATCGGATCAATGATGTGAAGAGGCAACATTCAAACAATATGTATAGTATAAGTGTAAAAATTATGAGTCTCTATTTTCCAGAAGTAGGCTTCCATATATGTCTACATCTCAGTAGTCTTCAAACAATAAAAAACAATTACAACAATCATCTCAGCAAACTGTCATCAAACACTAAAATACAATTACAACAACTACCATCTCAACCAATTTTCAAACCCTCATTCCTCTCCACTCATCATATATTTCTCTTGCAAGATCATCCCTCCATTGAGTCCATGTCTGGCTTGGCCCCCCACAAAGATTCTATTTTTATCTCCCTCTTAATCTGCATTTTGAACCAAACAGAAAAGTAAGTGTCACCATAGTGATTCAATACAAAGCTCTTGTACAAAAGAAAAATTTTACTTCATATGCCAGGGGTAGTCAAAATTGTTTCTTGTGGTTGGTTAAACCTTCCAATACACTATCCTCATTCATTAGGTATCTAACAAATGAAAGAACACTAACTTTCCACTCTAGGAAACTTAATTCTATGAAAACACCAACCGTATACAAGTACAGGAATTCGCGATGACCTGAAATATTAGTCTAGGCATACATGATAACAAGAATGAAACAAATAGAATTATCCAACTGATAAGAACAACAAAATGTCAATCTTTTTCACATAAGAAGGTAAAAGCAATGCAAGTCACCCCCTCGTAATCATCCTGCTCCCTGTACATTAATCACAATTAATTCAAAAAAGCAAAAACATTTATCCATCAAAATTCAATTTTCCCACCAACCCAAACCAGATTTTCCTCTATTTTCTCACAATCCAAGCAAGAACGAGAGAATTTCATTAGCGTAAGTCCTAGCCTTGGAGGCGGCACTAGGACAGCGAATTGATTTCCAGATCTTTTATGCTAGGGTTTCGTGATAAGGATGAAGTGGCCTCGAGGAGCGATGAAAGGTTGTATGGTGGTGATGGAGATGAGTTGCTGAGTACGTGATGCAGCGGACGAGAGGCGGTGGGGGATGGTGGAAGTGGTGGGAAGAGAATGATAGAAGAGACGGCGGAGGGTGAGGGCGCGTGAGGAAGAGAAAGAGAAGGTTATGGTTGTGGGAGACGGTGAATTCCAAGCTATCAATCGATTAAAGTCAAAAACTGAGATTCAACAAACTATCAATCTCATACCCAGGTAAATCTGCAGCGTGACAAAAGTGGCTTTGTGTTGCTGCATGCTGGCTGGGTGCAGTTGGCGACTACATGAGAGGATGAAGATGAGGAGGAAGGCTACGTGAAAAGAAAGCAGCGGCAAAGAATGGATTAGGGTTTGTTTTAGATGGTGTAAATATTGAAAAAGATAAGGGGCAATTTTGTCTTAAAATGTTACAATTTTGTGTTCTACGGATGTGGAACCAGTTGTTCCAAGAAGGTGATGTGGAATGAAAATTCAACCAAAACTCGTTCCACGGGACAGTGCGTTCCGCTGTTTTTGGCGCACCAAACGTGGGACGGAATGCTTCGTCCCACTGCGTTCCGTCCTGTCCCACATACCAAACAGTAACTTAGGTCCTAGGTTCGAAACCTTGTGGGGTGGGATGGGGGTGAAAAAAAAAAAACCACTATTAATAATGTCAAACTTTTGTAACTAGTGTCACTATTTTCATCATTTAACACATTTTTAAAACTTTCTGCACCAATTTAGAAGAAAAAAAAGTTTAAGACCATAGTAAAATAACCACTTAAGTTCATGGATAAACTTGTAATTAAGGCCATCTCCAACCGAGGGCTGACCAGATTGCTCGTTTTAGCCCTCTGGCCCTCTAAGATATTAATATTTTAATGAACAGTACATAGCCATATTTGCCTCTGTCTCCAACCGAAGGCCAAAGAGTCATAGAGCTCGTTTTAGCCCTGTCACAAAAAACCGTCTCCAATCCAAGAGCCAAACATAATTTATTATTTAAATTTAAGAACTACAACAACTTAAATTTAAAAATTACAACTTATATGTAAAAATTAGAACAGTAACTGGCCCAAAAAACCAAAAAAAATTATAACTTAAATTTAATGAATGGTTTAGGTATTTATAGGAAAACAAAATTAGAATTTTTAAGAATTAAAAAAAAAAAAAGGCCCATAAAAACCAAAAAAACAAAAAACAAAAAAAAAATTTGAATACAAGGGCTAGTCAGCTAGCCGTTGGATTCAAAATTTTTTTTAAGCATTCCTGTCGGTTATAACCGACAAAATTTTTGAATTTCTGGCCAGCCCCGAGCTGCTTGGCTGGTTGCTTGCAGCTAGCCCTTTGACCCTTTCAGATTTTGTGGGGCCCACGAGCCCTCTGGCCTAACCCTCGGATGGAGACGGTTTGCGGACTATTTTCGGTCTTCTAGCCTTTTGGACTCTTCAGTTGGAGATGACCTAACTCTTTCAACTTTGAGTAGATAAATTAAAATTTAATTTCTCAGGTTGGTAAAGATTCTCTGATGCCGTGTGTGCCTTCCCCCCACTGAAACCTACCCATTTCCAGAAAAGATTCATTCTCTTTGGCCGAGACAGATTAAATTAAAGACAGTCTTATCACTTGCCTGTCCCATGCAAACTTACTATTAACAGTATTAGTGAAGTCTTACTTTTTACTGCAGTGCTGGGTCACAATTAAAGAGAAGGCTCTCACCACCTGACTGATCACGACTGGTGAGAGAGAGGGAGTCAGTCATCACCTGGTCATATCGTCGTGGATGGATGGTGGGATTCGATTCCATTGTGTTTGT